GAAATCTGTTAAATTCCTTCAATTAATTATTGACTCTAATAGGAAGCTAGTAGATTAATAAGATAAGAGATCTTAAACACTTTAATTGGATTTCACTGTGAGGGTGGTGAGGCACTGGAAAAGGCTGTCCAGAGAAGCTGTAGCTGCCCGATTCCTGGAAATGTTCAAGTCAAGCCTGGATGGGGCTTTGAGCAACTTAGCCTAGTGGAAGGTGTCCCTGCCCATGGCAGGGAGTTGGAACTAGATGAACTTTAAGGTCCCTCCTAACCCAAACCATTCTATGATTCTATTATTCGGGTCCAAACAACCTCCAACAAGCACTAAAGAAGCAGAAGTGAGATATAATACCTAATATGCATCAGTAAGACTCATTTTACTCAGCCTTTCTTTTGTAGCAGCTAGTTCCTCATGAGAGTACAGAAAGAAATTTTTAGGTCACCATATCCAGTGTATTGATATCTTCAAGAGATAGTTGAATAACTCCTTTCATAAACTGATCAATGTCCATTTTAAGAAGACAAACTCCATTGGCATACCTCTAATTTCTCGTATTCCAAAATCTGATGACTATAGAATCACATTGTAATTTTCATCCCTCAAAATTTTTCAGTAACTGTTTGTTCTTTACCCAGCTTTAGCCTACTTATCACCTGGAGCATAGATGCCAATATATTTAGGCCAAGTAGCCATGCTATATCTAGGCATTATTTTCCTGAGCCAAACTCTTTTACTTGCTTCATGTAAAGACAGGTTCTCCATGCATAACATCACTTTATTGGTTTTCTTTATTCTTTCAATTAGAATTAGTCTTTCTTAATTGTAGATGACAATGATGCTCTAACTGAGGTCTCAGGAGGCTTGTAGACAATGGCAGTATCTCTTTTCATCTCCTGAAAACAGACAAGCTTTTGCATTAACCTTTTTCGCAGCTATATCACATTAGTGGCTTGCAGCTATTCAGTAACTGTGTAAGACACCAAAATCCCTTTACTTTTCATTATTTGTGACTGATAAATTTCTACCTAAGGATAGAAATTCTTGCTATTGGTCCCTAAAGGCATAAGCCTGTACTGTGAGCTATTGAATTTTATTCCTTTTTTGGCACTCCAGTTCTCACAATTATATAGTTCTCCCAATAGAGTATCTGGCTTTTCCTTGGTTTAGGCAATGCTGCATATCTTGCTTGTATTAACAAATTTCAGTGGTGGGCTCTTTTGTTCTAAACTCGTTAACATTCAGTGCTCTGTATTACTGATACTGGATCCTCTCTTAAGGGAATGAATGGTGGTCAGTGTCAATGAAAGTATTACCTGAAAGAATTCACATGTAATAATCTCTGCTGTAACATTAACTATTGACTGACAGTGTTTGACCAGTACATATACACAGGTTTCTGTTAGGTCCCTAAAAAAGATGAGGTAGGAGAGTAACTGGTTTCTATTCCTATTCTAGTACTAACAGTAAATGTGGCCAGTCACAGTGGGAAACAGACTGTGTGTTGTCCGTATGGTTACAACAGGGGACAAGAAGGGCTGGCCAGGTATCAGCACATCCTCTAGGAAAAGATGTGAGCACTCTATTTTAACAAGAAAAATTGAGCCTTCTGAAAAGAAATTGTAATCTTCTCAAAATGACAGGTCTTCAAAAAGATGTGATTTACTCAAACATGCACAAAGATTTGTGTATTAACTTCAAGTTCCACCTCTGGGTAGCTCAGCATGCTAACTACATGCCTTTCTGGAGGGTTTAGAGGTGTCACAGATACAGGCAATATACATAATACTACTCTCAGATTACATTTCCTCTTTATAATCTGGAAATCTATATTAATCTTATGTATTATTTCATAATTTATTTGCAGAATTATTAAAATATTAAGTAAATGTTGTAAACACAGGACAGTACATATAAATTACAATATAGCTGTGTCTTTGCTGGATATAGCTACTGCTAATTAATTGGTCCTGGACAGTTAATAAACGGTGCAAGTAATCACCAGAAAAAATGATTGTATAATCATTATTTTAACACAAAGAGGATGCTCTTATGATGTAAATGCTGCTGTATTACATATCAGAGCATGTAGACTGTGTTTTTCTGATTTTCTTTGTAGACTATAGAACTTAAATATGAAGTCTTATTACTGGTTTCATTAAAATCACTGAAGTGTTTGACTTCTATGACTGGATCTTTGTCACAAGGTAAATTATTAATGGTTATTTGGCATCTAATAATTTCCAAATGTTTTACTGCTATATATTCATGGAGAGTACAATTTAAAATTGACTGCCAAATTTTAAATGAGATTGTTTCTCCTGAGACTGTGGTGATTGGAACTTGCATTAGTTGCTCATTGAAGCAAATATATTTCTTATGACATATGTCATAGTTAGATGTTTTTATTGATACCAAACACTTTTCTGTTTTAAAGTATCACCATGAAACCACCTGCCTAAACGTTATTTATATTATAATTTTGCATTTTGCAGCAATTCAAAGACATATACTGTTGCATTTAATGGTTATAATGCCAGCTGGTAACATTCTGTGGGGTTTGTTCCATTGTTATTTGTTTTGCAAAAATAGAACTGTATAATACGTGATTTTCTTTCCACTTACAAAATGTTTTATTATTTAGTAGAAAAATGAAAATAATTTCTTTCAATATTTCTGGTGCTGTATCAAACTGTACTGTTATAGTAATGCTTGCTTATTGCCCTACATAACATAAAGTTGCAAAATTTGATCTTGACTTAGAGATTTGGGTGGAATAAATACAAACTACTGCCTGATGAAGGAAATCTGTATTATATCTTAAAAGGCCAAATCTTCAAAGTCCTTAAAATACCTCATTAACATTTTGATATCTGTTTTCAAGAAAAAAACCCACATAACCATGTTGTAACATCCTTATTTATTGTTGATACTACCCCCAAAAGAATTACAAGTTAGAAGTATCAAGAGAGGACCTTAGCTTCTAAGAATATAACCTTGGGGAGAACTTCATCCAGTACTTTTGCATCAATCCTAAAACTAGAATTTGAATATATTCATTTTTTGGTACATCTAGGTAATCTTTGTTTAGTCTGAAGTAAGTTGGCTTTTTCTATGGGCAAAGGACCTGGATGTAAGCCAGATCAAACAGGAATGTGTTAGGAATGTGTTAGCACAGTGCTTCATCCTCCTTTATTGCCAACCAGTACAGATTATTAGTCCTAAATTAATACTGCAGTCAAAATGTTTGCTCAGTTTCTGATTTGAAGTTGGCTTATACCAGCCTACCTTGGAGCTAAAGAGTGAGCTCCTAACTGCATGGAAAATCTTGTGGATTTATGTCTTTAGAAGATAACCTTGATTCATATAGAGTGGTTCGAAAATGAGATACAAAACAACGTGACTAAAAGTGTTGCATTCATTTTACCTACCCCCAGATGCCCATTCTGTACTTGTATGCCTTTGAGGTATTCTTTTAAACTCTTGACATAGACAGCGGTAGCAAAAGACATTTTTAGGTTGCAAACAATCTCATCCAAAAATAGTCATCTAAAATAGGTTAGATGAATTCTGCAGTTGCCAGTTTTTCTTCACTGCCTGTAAAGGGAAGAAATACTCCGCAAAATACTTACTGATGCCCAACATCTGTGGGCAAATCCCTAAACCTAACTCCTTCTAGCCATCCAGCTAGACAATATTGACAAGATATCTCTTGTTAATAGAAGTTTATGCTCTTACTGTCATTAAACCACCTAGTTTAGTGCACCGACTGCTTTAATATAAAAAGACGTAGAGTCCTAGAATCATAGAATCGTAGAGTAGATAGGGTTGCAAAGAACCTTGAGATCATCTAGTTCCAACCCCCCTGCCATGGGCAGGACAGCTCACACTAAATTATGTCACCCAAGGTGACATGAAACATATAAAAAGACAGAAAATTTCTAATGTTGGGAAAGGAGTGAAAGACCGAAATCCAGAATACAAGAGAACTACCAGTCTATTCCAGAGTCACCTGAGACAATTCATTCTGGAGGGTAATTCCATCTGGGCTAGCATTGTTGGGTGAAGTTGCTGTGGAGGGATGACTCAATGCTCTTGTATAAAGATAGTGATCCAGGAAAGAAAACGTTAATAATAAAGGATTGGACAAGCAAAGTCACAGTGATAACAGCCTTGGCAAGCTGCAAGTCATGGTTCAGGCCCCAGCAGTCATAACATTTAAGAAACATCATAGTTGTGTCAGTCTTGTGTGTGGACGTTGTTTGGTTTTAATGTCTTTACTGAACCCAAGTTGTTCATCCTTTATTTCTCTTCTGTAAGATTACAGACGTGTATCTTGAATGAAACAACATCTTATGGCAGGCCTCCAGCAAGAGGCACTTCTTTGGGAAAAACGCACCCAAGAGTTCCCTAAAAACATCAAAACATCAAGATTAACTTGTACTTCACAAATTTAATTTCCGTTGCAATTACTTCAATGGCTGTTGCTTGGTCAAGTCAGACACAGGCAGAAGTCTTTCCAAGATTTCAACTCCTAGTTTGCACATGTCCAATTTGGCTAAAGAGCTGCCTATTTTCCAGCGTCAAACCAGAACAACCTGTGCTGATGTCGGCTGTGCTCCCTCTCAGGACTACTGGCTACTGGCAGAGACCTGCCAATTCTTTTCATATGGGGCTTTCACTGCCTTTATATCTGCTGATAAAGTGTAGACTGATATAAAACTTTCCATTCAGATGAGCAGATTTGATTGATTTGTCTACTTATTAATAGAGTAAGTTCAGCAGAATTTAAGATGTAAATTTATTCTTGACCTTTTTGCACTTTCAGCCTGTTTTCTCCCCTGTGCTTTTTCCCCTGTTTACATTTCCTCATTCCCTCTGGTCCACATCAGTAATGTTAAGAACCGTAATCTTCTAATCTCCCATAATTCACTAGATTACCTTAAACTGATAACGGGACTGGGAGTTTGTGGCCTTTCTTCCCCTCCTTGTTCTTGTGGGACAGGTATTAACAGCATTCCAAAAGGAAGAGCCAGGCATGCCTCCTCTTTAGCAGGCAGAGCACAAAACAGACTATGACACCAAAGAGAACACAATTCTGGCACTGGAAAGGGTAAAATAGTAACAAGCCATCTGAACCTTGATGGTTTCTAGAATCTACCAGCAAATATTTTGCTATGAAAGTAGGTTACCATGGTGGACATTCTGTGAGGAACAATGGCCATGCCAACAGTTGTCTTGTCCTTGCTGAGGGGAGGAAAATTAACACTGCTAGAAGCGGAGGTTGGCTCCGTCGTGCTCGCCACCAGAGCTTCTCTTCCACTGGGACCAAGCACTGAGAATACATGTTTTGTACAAATTTGGTCACTTTTTGGGGTATGGTGAAAGTGCCAAAAGACTGAGAGGAATGGGAAAGTACTTCACACTGGCGAGTGAGCGGCATGGGCTGCGGCTCTCTTCCAAGGGTAGCAAGAGAGAGATGCAGCTTGCCAGCCTCTGCTGTTTCCTGAGCTCCCATGCAGGAGTCTGACAATCTCTTCATGCCAGGTGATCTGAGGGCTGAGGGGGTTAGCAGGACCCTCTGCTGCTGGAGTCCTCCACACATGACAGCTGGATCGTCGCTTTGCCATTACAGGGCACAGGGTGCGTGAGATTTCCTTCTTCCTTTGTCCCTTTGGCTGCAGGGGAGCAAAGCAGGCTGAGCTCTGCCTTCCCCTCTCAGGAGGGCAAGTGCTGCTGAATGGATCGAGATGGACCTCGCAGGTCTGGGTCTTGGTTTTGCTGATTCATGGATCAGAAGGCCATAGGAAGTCATTACAGAGATTCAGCCTCACCTGTTAAGGAGGACTGGCTGTAGCACTTCCCACTCTCGTTTACTTTTAAATGAAATGGAACATATATACTTTTAGGAAAAAATAAAACACCGGAGCTAAGTTAAAAACTAGTTACTGCTGGGAAGGTGCTGATGCTGTAAGGCCTGAACAGGGCACTGGCAGAGAAGTGCCAGGATGCATAATCCATGGAGGCGCGTGCAGTCCTGGTAGCCAGGATCCCACACCCCCAGTCCTCCTGAGCCCAGAAGTAGGTTTGAGTCCATTGGTCAGGAGGAGGGATTTGGTTTATCACTCTGATAACTTTTGCCACCGAAGCTGGGCTCTGGTCTGAAATATTACAATAATATTCTCTTGTAAGGAAGTGGGGACTGCAGCATTAACCTTCTCCTAAACACTGTTTGTGTCTCTTTTTTTCTTTTTGTTCCCCCCTGTGACTCAGACACCTTGCTCCTGTTTTCAGCATGTAATATCCAGCTTTAGCTGGCAAAGGAAATAGGATCTAATTGAGCAAGCATGTTATCACAATTCAGAATTACAAGTTTTTCATCTGTTTCGCTTTTTGGTTATTTGGGTACTGCTACTCATTCTATTTAACATGTTGACTCCTGTAAGGGCTCTTGGGACAAATAAACCTCTTGCTGCAAAATGGTCTCAAAATACCCAAAGATGGGTATGTTCTCCCATATCATGATATGGCATCAGCATTATATAAAGTTTGATTTTTTCTATTTTTGTCAGGGATTTTTCAAGGTCAGATTTTGTGTATTCCTCCTTAAGTGTAACTTTACATCAGCTTTTGTAATCTTTGAATGTTTTCTGATCCTCCAAGATGCTCCAGCTGCTTACATGACACAGAGCCAGCCAGGTTCAGTCTCTTATGGGACTTGCTGCCTCCACTCAGCCAGCTACAGGGCTGAAGCTGATGATCACAGCCTATCTGATTAAGTGTAGTTTCCATGGTGGTAGCAGCACTATGGTATACAAACTGCAACTCTAGTATACAGCTAAAATACTTTTCAAACTGCCTTTTCACACTTTCAAGCTATTCCTCTAGAGTAGTGCAAAGCAATAGTTACATGTGAGGAAGAAGACAATATATAACTGTTATTTGCTGAAATTCAGCAAGTCAGGGTAATTGCCTGCTATTAGTCTGGCTGTCAAGGGTACATGCTCACTTAGTACGACTGTTGTAAGATCTGAGGGTCACCTAAGCTACTCCTCAAATATTTTTTTACCATCCGGAGTTCTGAAGAATGCAAATGTTTCCTAATAACCAGAATATTTTATCTCTAATGTTCTTTCCTGGCCAAGTAATAAGGTCAAGGAAGCTTTGGCCATAGTGGACAGATTTTTTCTGCTTCATTTATGCTTTGAGATAGATCAGCCTAAAATGGAGCATGAATGTTGTGACTGTCCTTCTTCCACTTGTTTTTAATCCCCTCTAGCTCTTTTGAGGTATATTTAAGTATATTTTCCAAGTTATGGGGAAAGAGGTTTAACTGATCTCTCTTTATTTGCTCCGTATCAGATTATGCATTTGCTGTTAAGAAGGAATGCATGTGTGTGCATTTGCATAAATAAACAGAACTTTTCAAAATCTCTCACCCCCAGGTTTTTGATCAACCACCAAAGAACAATACATCTTGAAAGGCTTTTTTTTACATCTCTTAACTTTGTGTTTCTCATCGTGTTCTGTAAAAACATTACATTTTTGAAAAACTGCGCTGAAAAGAAATGTAACCTCTTTCAATTCTGAAATCCTTCCTTTTAACCATCAAACTTAGGGACTGTTTTTCTTCTACATGCTGGTGAAAAAGGGGAGACAAAGCAAAAGTAAAACTGCTCAGTTTTGAAAATGTCTCAGCTTTTGAAAACACGATATTTTCCATTTAAAGTAAAAATCCTCTTTCTTCTCCTTTCAACTTCACTATTTAAACGTGACCTCAGAAATATTTTTCAGACCTTTTTTTTTGACATAACCCAAGCTATTGGCATGAGAATGCAATTCTGCTTTTTCTGATTAAGTAGTGATAAATTCAGTATCACTTTTGTTTCATTTGAATCTTTCAGTCTGCAATAGGTCATATTTGTTCTTATCCTGGGGAAAATAAAGCATAGTTCTGGAATTCAAACCTTAATCTACCAAAGCAAGGTATTTGCCTTCATGTGAGTGGAAATGTTATGGTGGCTTCTGGTTCTCATTTTTATGATCGTTGACATAATTCAGATCAACCAAAGCAAAAGAAAGTTTTTATTGGTCACTGAGCATTTTAACATAAGTGAAGTGGGAACAGTCAAAAGATAAATCTAAGTACCATTTACAGATTGGAAAAGAATTTTTTTTTTCCAAGCAATAACAGAAGGTCTCCGTCAGAAAGTGAGAAATCCCGTATAGAAGAGGATCCTCTTCTCTCATGGGAACAGACTGATCCCCCTGACATTGGAAGGGTGCTCCCTAAGCAAGCAACTCCGGGCTGAGGTGTGGAAAAAGGTGAAAGACAGGGTGAAACTGGGTCTGTCTCAGCTAGTTTTGAAGACTTTGTTCTTACAGGGAAAAGATTCAAGCAGAAAAGCACCATACCTCCACCTCAGACTCTGTCTCTAAATTATTATTTCTTTTGAGCAACAATTTTCAATATTTTCAGATGAAATTCAGCAACAGGTCAGGACAATAGAACCAACATTCGTTTACTGTAAATAATAAAAAATATTGCTTGACCTGTTCTGTCTCTTTATTTTTTGGTTTGGGCTTTTTTTTTGAGTGTCTTATTTTCTCCCAACTTCCTGACAGCTTATAGAATCTAGAATCATAGAACAGTTAGGGTTGCAAAGGACTTTAAGATCATCTAGTTCTAACCCCCCTGCCATGGGCAGGGACACCTCACACTAAACCATCTCACCCAAGGCTTCGTCCAATCTGGCCTTGAACACTGCCAGGGATGGAGCATTCACAACTTCCATGGGCAAACCATTCCAGTGCCTCACCACCCTAACAGGAAAGAATTTCTTCCTTATATCCAATCTAAACTTCCCCTGTTTAAGTTTGAACCTGTCACCCCTTGGCCTACCACTACAGTCCCTAATGAAGAGTCCATCCCCAGCATCCCTATAGCCCCCCTTCAGATACTGGAAGGCTGCTATGAGGTCTCCACGCAGCCTTTTCTTCTCCACGCTGAACAGCCCCAACTTTCTCAGCCCGTCTTCACACCGGAGGTGCTCCAGTCCCCTGATCATCCTCATGGCCCTCCCCTGGACTTGTTCCACCAGTTCCAAGTCCTTTTTATGTTGAGGACACCAGAACTGCACACAATACTCCAAGTGAGGTCTCATGAGAACAGAGCAGAGGGGCAGGATCACCTCCTTCGACCTGCTGGTCACGCTCCTTTTGATGCAGCCCAGGATACGGTTGGCTTTCTGGGCTGCAAGCGCACACTGAAGCCGGCTCATGTTCATTTTCTCATTGACCAACACCCCCAAGTCCTTCTCCGCAGGGCTGCTCTGAATCTCTTCTCTGCCCAACCTGTAGCTGTGCCTGGGATTGCCCTGACCCAGGTGTAGGACCTTGCACTTGTCATGGTTAAACTTCATGAGGTTGGCATCAGCCCACCTCACAAGCATGTCAAGGTCCCTCTGGATGGCATTCCTTCCCTCCAGGTTATCAACTGAACCACACAGCTTGGTGTCATCGGCAAACTTGCTGAGGGCGCACTCAATCCCACTGTCCATGTCAGCGACAAAGATGTTAAACAAGACCAGTCCCAACACTGATCCCTGAGGGACACCACTCCTTACTGGTCTCCAGCCAGACATTGAGCCATTGACCACAACAGTTCTTTATCCACTGAGTGGTCCATCCATCAAATTGATGTCTCTCCAATTTAGAGACAAGGATGTCGTGTGGGACAGTGTTGAACGCTTTACACAAGTCCAGGTAGATGACATCAACTGCTCTACTCCTGTCCATCAGTTTTGTAGCCCCATCATAGAAGGCCACCAAATTGGTCAGGCAGGATTTCCCCTTAGTGAAGCCATGCTGGCTGTCACCAAGCACCTTGTTGTTTTTCATGTGCCTTAGCATGCCTTCCAGGAGAATCTGTTCTGAAATTTTGCCAGGCACAGAGGTGAGACTGACTGGTGATGGAACTTGGAGGAACTTGGAGGAACCTGCTTTTCTATCATTCTAAGATATTTGTTTCCTCAGTTGACAATCATTAAAGTTTAAAAACTTACCATGGTCTTTAGTCTTACAAATAGACAGCTGGACTAGCTTGACTATAAAGCCGTAGTGTCCTCACTATCAGCTGAACTGACCCATGATGTGGCATGCTGTTTTCCAGAGAGTGGAAAGATTTTGATTCGTCAGCTTAACTGGAAGTATAGCAAAAGCATTGATAAAAGGAATCAGGAATAACAAGACTAAAAAAGTCGTGGGCTCCAAACCCGCAATGTTCATAATGTGTAACTCAAAGATCCTACCCTAAGAACTAGTCTGTAAAACAGGAAGGTCATTCACAGGGAAAATAAGCTTTTATATTAAAGAAAAACCAAACCCACAAAAAAAAAAAATACAAAAACCCCAAACAACAACAACAACAAAAAAGCTATGGTTCATTAACTACATGTGCAGGGCACACAATGGAGAAAATAAATAGATCCTCTCATACCTGAAGTAGCAAAAAGAGGAGGCAGTGGTAGGATAGAAGATACAAAATGATACATGAGACATGACATGAAAGACAAAGTCAGAAAAAGTGAAAGACCAAAATAAGAAAGGACAGTGACACAAAGTCATAGTACAGTCTTAACAAGCCATTGTCAGGACTCAGGATCATGGATGTTTTCAAGCTGTCTGCAATTTCCTTCAATAAATTGGCTTTAAAGGTTTGATAGCATTTCCCACAGGAAGGTCTGCAGCCCCATTAAAATGTATTATATTGGCTAGCCACAGGTTCCAAGTCCCACTGTAATGATGGTTTTAGTCTAAAGAATTTCTTCTATTATAAATTATCATTAGTAAGAAGATGTCTGTCAGTTGACCTTTCTCAGCAAAAATATCATTGGTAAAATCTTTCTGAAGGCCTGACATATGTCTCAAATATATTGTTTAAATCCTCATTTTGGGTCCAGAATCTTGTCTTCAGCTACATGCTCATAATTCACATTAACATCAATGGAAGCTTAGCTCAAACCCAAGGACAAAATGTGTCCTCTATTCCTCAAAAGAGTCTGAAGTGGTATGTGAAAGTTTAGGCTTCTACAGATTATAGGATCACATATATATTGGTTGGAAATGACTCTAGAAATCTCTAGTCCAACTTTTGACTCAGGGAAGGAGAA